ACAATAAACATGATTAGAACATGCAACAATTTAATTATTTCCTTTTAAATAATTAAATTAAATGGTAAGATTAAAAAATAGAGGCTACAATAGATTATATGTAAAAAATTTTATTTAATTTGCTTATTACATTAATATGAAAAACTTAATAAGAAAATCACAATTTTAAAACATCAATTTCGAAATTTGATTTGATACTTTATTTATCATGATCTTCATTTATGCTTTTTATTATATTATTAATTTTCATATCTTATAATATTTATTATTCTATTAAAAGAAGAATATATCAATTAAGAATTCAAACTAAGTTATAATACAAAAAAACTTAGAATACAAAAATAAATATTACACTATATATTATGTACTTTATATAATATAAATATTATGTACAATATAAAAATAGTTTATTAATATAATTACTTTTAAAATTAATATTTCATTAATCTCTCATATTTATAAATTTTTAATTTAAAATAAAATTGAAGACTATGTTGAAGTTCTCACAACTGGAAAGATAATTAAGACATTTATAACTTTCAAATATATATCTGAAACATAAAAATATTATAGAAAATATAAAAGTTTCTACATATTATATTTGTAAAAATATTTTATAATATACTTCTGAAATAAAAAATATTATATATTTACATAGTCTAATTAGAACAAGTTTAATATAAAAAATAATATAAATTTTATAATTAAATAATAATCCAATATATTAAATATTTTACTTTAAAATATTATTTATATGTTTATNTATATATATATATATATATATATATATATAAAAATTAAGATATAAAAAAAGATATAAAAAATAAAATATACTTGCATAAAAAATATAAGTAGAGATTGCAGCTTTGGTTGGTAATACTGTCAAATTTAGCTTAACAAACAATGCTCTTTTCATGACCCTATTCTTTGTTCTCCTTCTTCATCAAAAAATTCATGGTGGTCATTTTAATTCATTCACATTATTTTATGATCAATATAAAAATATTGAATAGCACAAAAATTCCGAAATTCATTGTATATTAAAGCTAACAATAAGAAGTTCAATATGGAGAATCGTAATCATGACGCGTGACCTCTTCTTTTGCACGTCACTCATGTTTACAACACGTTATAAATTTTATGTTCCTCTCGAAATATGAAATATTAAAAAATCAGTATGAAGAGAATATAATCACATAATTATTCATTTAAAATAATTTAAATGAATAGGAGAAAAATGAACAGAAAATGATTATGGGGATAGGGGGTAAGGGAGGTTGAGAAACACGCAACTAAACATGCACTTTTAAAAGGATACACCACAAGCCGCTGTCCCATATCCTGAATGAAATTCGCTGCCTGCTGCCGGTAGCTTAGTTCCTTATCCGCGTCGATGCCGCATCTTCTGCTCGGCGTGTTTGTAAGCTGTTCTTTCGTAAAGTACCATTTTTCGTCAGCCGCCATTTATATGTACACACAACACGGTACTAATGATGCGCACTTCACGGCGGTCGCGATGGTGGCGGCGAGCACACAAGGCATGCACAACAGCAACACGTTGAGAACTTCACGTCACTACGCTAACCGGAAACTCCCCTCCAAATTCATACCCATAGAACTTTTCACAGTAAAACATTCACATATTAATTATTAAATAAATAATTTTATAATGTTGCTACTTTACTTCATAAATATTTAATTGTCTCTTCTATAAATTACTTTTTGTTTATTTTATGTATTTTGCATTTTATGCAAAAGTTCCATTTTGAATTCCGGAAATAGTATCTTCTTTTTTTAAATTGATTGATACGTATCCAACTTCACGGCACTGCTTTAGAATTATGCAGTAGATGAAAAACCAACTTCAGAAATTCTTCAGTACTTTTATATATATGTTTATGACATTAGATTGTCGTAATTTATAGGTTAATACGAAATTTTGTAATACCGTTAAAATTATTTTATGGACGTTTTATTTGTTTAATATTTTACAAAATAAGTTTTTTTCCGTATAATAACCATAATAAATTAATAATATCAATTTTTCAAAGTGCATTACAATAATGAACCTATTTTTGATAATTTGTTATAAAAACCGCTTTTTACGTAAAGTCAAGATTTTCTTAATCTCAATAAGATTTTAACAAATTTAAAGTCGATCGTAATTTCATTATAATTTAAAACGCGATATATATTAAATATCCAGGATAATTAATTAATACCATATAAATTACTATACAGAAATATTTTCCGCATGCATTTTTATGTTATTGTACACTGATTTATGAACTTTTGGCAGGCCATGAGGTTGGTTATATAAAAAATTATATTATTATTTCAATATTAATTCACTATATAATTTAATAATTTCAATTATAATAATAAAATAAAAATTCTATATTTTATAGTTGAGGTATTTATATCTATGTAACAACTTTATATACTATTATAATTTACCCCATTTCATATGAAAAAATTAAAAAATATTACTTGTCATTATGTTGCACAAGAAGTTGCAATTTTTCTGACACAATAAACATGTAACAAACTAGTACTGTTTAATTCGAAATAAATATTAATTTTTTATGGCAAGCACGTTACATTGGTTTATTTTAATAAACACGCGTGCATAACGTAAAACCAACTTGGCTAATATTTTATGACCAACGTCATAACCTACCTGAACTTTTTCAGTCTATGATAGGTATGAATCACGTAGTTTATCAATTAGAAGTTTTGAGCTTTCAACTCCCGGAAGTGACGCAATCGTTGAGCTAGTAGTATGTGCACGCAACCAATATTACCCCTGTAGTAGCGTTCCGTTATCTTGATCCTATCGAAGGATCCAGTGTTGTCTTTCGAATATTTAGTATTTATTCAGATATAACTTCAGACTTGCACAATTGTTAATATTTTACGTTTCACAACATAATCTTTTTTACTCTTGAAATAATCAGAAATACATTGATGGTGATAAGCGTGATTGGATTGGCACTGCCTTCCTCTTTGAAGATTTGATATAAGAAATCACAGTAAGTCTCTAAAAAAATTATATTTCGCGGCTTTCTTAAGTCCCGCTTTTCTCGTTTTATTATAATTTTCACAAAAACTAATCACATGTCCGTTTCATTCGTTCGAAATCCGTACATACATCAATGAAACTTCATTCAACATCTCACGTACAAAATGGCGATTTACCACTTGTTACAAATACACATTGTATTAAAATTTTATTTTAAAAAAAATGATTATAAATTTAGATATATATAATATTTTATATATATATTATAATTTTTATAATCAAAATATATTGTTTAAATTGGAAATTATTTTAAATTAATAATATTAATAGAATAATTTTGATTTCCAATGTAAGTTATCGCGCTAAATTTAAAATTATAAAATAATTATATACATTGTAACTTTTAATTTTATTAAAAAAGTAATTTACAAAATGTAATTTTTTGATATTTTTCAGAATATTATGAAAAATTAATATTTCATAATTTTTATTTATTTGATATATAATTTTTTGAATATTTGAAAATATATTGAAAATATAATATCAGAGTTTTTATTTCGTAAATAACTATAATAATTGAAAGTATAATAGGATTTTATATATTATTCATATATTTATATAGAATTTATATTTATTGATGAGATACTCTGTTAATTTCTCGATATTATTTTGTATTCGATATATATTCATTCGTTAGACTACTACGATATTATAATCGCAGCTTGTAATTCTTTCGTATTTTATGTTTCACATTTTTTTAGACATTTCTCACATATATATTTAATATATTAATAATATTTCTTTATTTTTTTTAATTTATTAATAATGACTTATTATTAATATATTAATAATAATAAATTATTAATAATAGATAAATTATTAATAATAGATAACTTAGATTATTAAAATTACAAAATGCTAATATGAAGTAGATATTTCTCAATATAATTTATTCTGTCAGTTAATTATTTGAATTCTTCATCAAATTCAAGATTACATTATAATGTTAAAAAATATTAAAATCTAACATTGAAATTATAAAGAAGATATTTTATATATATTAAATCCAAATTTAATGAATTTTATATACATTATATATTTTTTTATTATATATAAGAATTTTTTTAAATATTATATTGAATTTTAGATATTATACTGAACTTAAAAAATTTAAGTAGTTTGTATAAAGTCAAGAGCTAGATATTCTTTATTACAGATACTTGAAATGCTTTTACTTAATTTAAGCCACTATGTTAAAAAAACAGATTCAAGTACTGAAGATACTGAAGATGAAGAAGGAAAAGTCAAAGCATTAGATCCTTTTAGTAAGTGTTGATTAAATATTCTTTTATTCTTATAAATAAATTAAAATTTTTGTAAAAACTTTATATAAAAAATTTTTTTTTAGCTGAAGTTGATGCATATAAAGTAAATGCAAGTGGACGTGATATTTTGGATTATGCAAGTTCCTCTGATAGTGATGTTGAACCTACAACAGTGAATGATACTTTAAGAGGAAGTTATCTTGATGATAGTGATAATGAAAGTTTATACAGTGCACAAGAAGATCCTTTAAAGTAAGAATATTCTTATGTATGAATACTTACAATTATATATGTGTATATGAAAATTTTATTAATTTGTTTTTTCTGTAGAATATCAGCTAGCTTGCTTTGGCTTGAGCAAATTTTAAAAATGAAATTTCAATTATTTGTATTTTTACTTATATCTATTTTGTAGTTGCTTTTTGCAAAAATGAAACAGTAATTTCTATTGAATAATTAGTATTAATTTTTTAAGGCATGCTGGAATTTTTACTGCTGAGGAGGTGATCTATATTGCACGAGAAAAACTAATTAGATTACAATCACTTTATATAGATCAATTTAGAAGATTACAATACATATTAAGAGAGAAAAGAAGAAAATATTTACATGCACTTAAAAAGGAAAAGGAAACATTATGTAGTATATATGATCAACCGAAAGAAACTGCAAAAGAAAAAAAAATTTATGAAAAATTGAAAGCCTTAAATCGTTATCATAGACGTAGTGGAGTTGAAGCTATACTATATAGAAAATCTTTAGAACGTAGAGCACAAGTAAAATATAAATTTTATGATTTTATATAATAAATAATATCATATAACACATTATATAGTAATACTAAAAAATTATATATTTTTGTTATAGGCAACTGTAGGTCCTACACAAAAAATACCAAGTATATCAAAATGTATTTTTACAGAAGGTGGAGTAAAATGTGGAGAAAAAACCCTTCCTGCTGCAAAACATTGTCGCAAACATATTCTTAAAGTAATATATTTATTCAATAATATCATATCATATAAATAAAAATTGAACAAATTTTATCATCTTAATAGGATCAACATCAAGTTTTGTTTAAAGCATGTGGTGCAATTCGAGCAGATATAGAATGTCATGAGCCAGTACCAGTGATTTTTGATACAAATTGTGTATTTCATATGAATTTACCATCTGAATGTAAATTGGAAACTATGAAAGTAAGATTTTAAAAATACATTTTCTATAAATTTTATAAAACAATATGATGCAATATTAATTCTATTTTTATTATAATTATTAGTTTAAAGAATCAAAACCTGAAACACAGGAAATATCAGCAATAGATAATCAGTCTATAGAAATTGATGTAGTAGGTGAAATTCAAGAAATTGATCCAGATGATGACATGGCAGGATTAATGAGAGAGATGAGTGATGCTGCACATATGAAACCAGTATTTAATGAAAGTTTAAATAGTGAAGCTAGCACAGATACAGCGTTTAGTTTATCAGCTCAGATGAGTGATAAAGATGATCTCGTCTCTGTTTGATAAACTATCTTGTTTGTTATAATATAATTATTCTAATATTTGTATAAAACTTACTATTTAAATAATATTTATAAATTTTATTTGACTTATATTGTTAATTATATGTTAAGTGCCTCAATATTAAAAGAATCATATTAACTCATACATATATAACAGCTGTTATATAACAGCAAAAGATTGTAAAATATTATAAATATAATTTACAAATATAAAAATTTTTTTTCTTATATATTGTATATATATATATATATGATAAAAAATAAGATATATCATCTTCATTTGTAAATATTCCATGATCATTGCACAATTTTAAAAATAATAAAATGATTAATCTTAAATATATACTATATATATTATTTTTTATTGAATTTATTTCTTCATTATTTGTAATCTTATTAAGTATAAGAATATTTAAATATATAATTAACTATTTAAATATTAACCATTATCAAATATAAGAAGAATATGATACATCACATAGTTTTAATAAAAATTTTAAATAAAATAATTCACAAATTATTTTTAGTGAAATTTACAATAGATTTAAAAAATATATATTTATCTTATTATATTTTATTTAATTATTTTTTAATTTATATCACTTCGTATAAATGATTTTTAAATATTTGAAAAAATATAATTTTATTTTTGAAAATTTAATCTATAATATATTAACTGTTATAATGAAATTAATTTATAAACTATAAATTAATATAATCTAAATAAATATTAATTCTAAAATAAATTATAAATAATATATTTTCTGATTTTTAAAAATATTTTGTTAAAATAATTACAAAAAAATGCATTGAATATTAAATTTATTCTGTCTTTTTATATATGATTCAAAACATTTTACAATTCATAAATATTGAAACATCATTTAATTGTAAATAGGAGAATATTTTGTACAAATTTGAAACAAATATATTGAACTGTATTTGTGATGACATCTCTTTACTCATAATTGTAATTTTTGTGATAAACAATTGTATTAATAATAGCAAAGATGATTAAAATTTTAAATTAATATTTTTACATAAATTAAGTATTTGAATATTATAATTTTTAATATTGTATTAATGATTTATTATTATAAAATAATTATTTTATAATTCATTGATATAATAATGATATAATAATTTATAATTTTCATAATGATTCATGATACAATGATTTATAATTTATTAATTAAATATCATTTAATTAAAACTTATTGTTCTTTTAATACTTATGTACTAATATTACATAACAGAAAATATTATGGTTTGTTAAATTATATCAAAATTATTATTAAATTAAAAATTTTTATTTCGTGTTAATCAATTTTAATTAATTTTCTATAACAATAATTCATATATTTTTATTTTTATTAAAATTTACAATCGTTGAATGTACATATATATTTCAATACTATAAAAATTGTTTAATATATTTATATTATATTCTCTGAAATTGTAGAAGTAAAATAATAATTATAATACTTAATAATATTAATAATTTTAATATTAATATTTTTACATAAATTAAATATTATTATAATTAATATAAAAATTAAAATATTAAGTATATTCCATATATATTTATCTGAGTTTAAAGTACATTTTTAATCAAATTTATGAAATTTTTCAATAAAAAAAATAATCTGGATAAATTAAGTAAGTAATATTAAATTATTTCTAAGAATTTAAATTTTAATTGATTTAAATTGATTTAAATTGAAATTTAAAAAATTAAAAAAATATATTATTATTTAATATATCGAGATATTTCTAAAAAATTAATTCTAGAGATGAAGACAAACACAAAAATTCATTGAGGTTTATTTATTATATTTATTACACTTATTATATTATAGAAAGATATATAAAAGATTTCAGATGTTCACAGATGTTATACAAAATAATATAAAAATCTACAAAATATACATGAATGATAAAAATATTTATCAATTAAAATATAATATTTGAAAAATAAAACAAATTTCAATTTAAGCTTCATTTCTTTTTTCGTGTTCATAAAAATTTTATTTCACATAAACATCCGCATCCGTATCTATTTATTAAATTTAAATTATTTATATTATGGTTGATATTGAAAACATGGTTGGTATTATTACATTGCTATTTCATTTAATAAATAAATATCAATTGTTATTTTTATATATTAACTTTTATGTTTTCATCTCTAAAATCGATCTTCTATGAGGTATTCTATGAATATATTGACATTCTATACAGCTTTTATTATTAAAAAATTTTATTTATTATATAAATTATAATTATAATTATAATTAATAAATTATAATTTATTATATAAATTTTAGATTATTTTCTACTATTCATCGTTAGTACTTCAAATATTGTAATAAATTATATTGTTTTGATAAGTGCTTATACTGAACGAGAAAGAATATTTATACAAAATTAATCAAATTGTTTTAGAGTTTGAAGTTTAATTTAAAAATTAATTATTATTCTTAAAAATTAAAAAATTTTTTGAAAGCAAAAAAATAGATTTTTTAATATTATTATTAATTATTATATTATTGATTGAATTTTACTTTTATTCCTATTATTATTCTATTTGATGTTTCCACTACTTTTTATATTTAATATTCATAAATTTTACAGACTGAATTCAATATAAAAAACAAATTGCTCAAATAAAAATTTCAACATATTTTGTATTCTTAATGTACAAATAAATATTGCACATATCTGGAATACAATTTAAAAAAAATTTAAATTTAAATAACTTAATCCTAAAATAATAAACTTAAAATGTAAAATAATAATTCTAAAATATTCAATAATTTAATATGTACTAAACAATTTTTTTAATGAAAACTTTTTATAACATATTCTCTAATTAATTTTAATATATAATAAAATATATTCTCAAATAATTTTTTTAAATTATCTCTTCAATTAATAAAATTATTATCCATTAGCCATAAAATAAGTAATAATTATAAGATTGTATTATAATATAATAAAACATTTATTAATTCATATTATTAGAATCAAAATTTACTATTTTTATAATTAAAAGAGAAATACTGAAATCTCCAATTTATATATATAATCCATATTTTCTAAAATGAAATATAGAATAAGATAATAAGTTTGTTTTATATTTAATTTATGTATATAGTACATGTTGGAATATTATTACATAAATTATTGATAAAATTTACTAAAATTTATTATTGAAAAACAAATTTATTTTAAGAAATAATAAGAAATCAATAAGAAATCTTTTTTTTTTCAAATAAAAACCATTTTACTATTTTTATATTATATTATATGTAAAAAAAAAAAAAAATCCTAAAATCTTTCAGGATATATAATAATATAAACATGTTTCAAAAAACTAATGTTTATGCTTAGCATTTAAATTTTTACAAAAAGCGCAAATTATTTAGTTAAATACATCAGTAATAATATAAGATATAATTTAAAAAAGTATTTTGCTTATAAGAATATAACGCTTTTTTTCAATTTTTACATTTTCTGTAAAAAAATACATTGTCATTGATCATGGCATTAATCATTAACATACAAACAAAATAAGAAACTTACATCATTTAATTGTTTAACACATTGAATGCCATGTAATTAATTAATTCATTTAATGTGAACAAGATTGTTAAACTGGTATTCAAAGTGTTATAGTACATTTTTTTAAGTAACAAAAGAATGTGCAAAATATGTATTTTGAGAATGAATATTCCATGTCATTAGCACAATAAATGCATATATAAAAATAATTGTATGACAGTAAAAAAATTTTGTTAAGATAATTTTAGAGAACCAAAGATATTTCAGTATTTTTACAATTATAAATAATAGTTTTTTTTACATAAGTACAGCTAAAAATATTTAGCTTTTATATTTTAATTATATATTATCTTACGACATGCAGATATGTACATATAATTGTAAATAATCACCAATTCAATGATTGATAATTACTGTGGCAGTATAAGTGGTATTTTTAAAATTTTAATATATTCAATCATGAATAGTGATTTACCGCCTCTATTTATCTGCATCAATATATTTGATGAAATTATTTTGTGCACAAGTGCATTTATAATTGTACAAAATTAAAATATGTTATATCGTAATTATCTTATTTGATAATTTGTTAATTACTGAAACACAAACTTATATATATATATATTTTTATAATATTTAAAACATTGTGCAAATGCAGAATAATTACAATGAAACAACTTGAAAAAAAATAAGCATAGAAATTTCAAAAACAAAATTGTAAATTTTTATAAACTTATTAAAATGCATTTATAATCAATTGATATATTTCTATATTTGATATTAACTTAATACCATTATTTTTTGTTTTTGATCTTATAATTTGATTAATATATAACTATTTCAACTTAAAATTATTATAAAGTATAGAGCACTTTGTTAACTTTAATAATACATTTATGACAGAATTACATATAACACTGACTCAATTATAAAATATTTATCTGAAGCATCATTTATTTAAATTGTTGTATCAAAATAAAGAATGCAATTATTAAATATATCACAATTAAACTTGTGTACAAATACACTGACAGCTCTAAAATACATACATATTATGTAAATGCCAGATATCTGACAAGTAAAGAGGTAATGCAGATTATAATTAATTAATATATAATTTTTATATTAGAGTATTAATATATTCGTAGAACATTTTTGAAAAACTGATTCTAAAGAAACAAACAACAAATAAAAGTTGGTACATAAAAATTTGAAGTTTATTTATTAAATTATAAGCAGTTTAAATTTGTATTAAATGAAATAAGATAGAAATAAAAACAGTAGTGTAATGGAGAAAGTGGTTTGACTTTCTTTCCATTTTATTTCATTTAAACTTTCAATTTATAATTTAATAAATAAACTTTAATCAACATTTTTGTCTTTTTTTTTGACTTCTAGAATTGATCCTTCAAAAATATTCCACGAATATATTAATATCCTGTTATAACAAGTAATACATTTTTATAGTGATTCATATTTAATCTAAATATAAAACCGAAACAATTATATCTTCTAGA